GTAATAATAAAATTGCAGCGAAATAGGATATATCGCTCCGTAAAAACCACTGGGTGATAGGGCTGTGACTAACAAAGATAGACGCATCTGGCAAAATATTTATTGCCTACGAAAGTGAAAATTAGATTAGGCTTCATCCAATCAAGAATTAGCTACGTCTGAAATCCCTGTCTGACAAAACTAATAAGTGAATTATTACTCACCTCCACGTCAGCAGTGCCAGGGCCAAAATAAGATTGAGCTGGAAAACGGCGCTGGCAAAGCAACAGCCAGGTTCCTACACCTAACCCATTCTGAGCAACAATTTCACCGACGAGGCTGAGTGATGTACGTAATGTTGCCCCAGCCGAGATTGATTGCTTAAGCACCATCTCGTAGACGGATAAAGAAGGTGCAATTTCACGTTCAGCGGGTTCCTCCTGTGAAAATAAGTGTTAGTATCAATATGAACCCTTACGTACCTTCAGATACCGGTCAAAAACGTCTGTCATATCGACCCCGAGCGAGAACTCTGAAGTTGGTTGAGTAAACCTAAGTTGGCGCTCTTCTCTCTCTTTTGCTCGCAGCTTGAAGTATTCAAGTTGCAACTCAACAGCAGATTTTTCACGTAATGCCAATTCCCAACCATCAATATTAAGGCCTGGATGAAAGAGAGAATGCAAAAAGTAATGAAAAAGCTGCAGCCGAGCCCAGGTGGAGTTTGAAAATTTTACTTAGTGCGGTGATAAACAGAACGAGTTCTATATAAACGTCTTTATTTTAATACACGATAGTGGTGGTGTAAGACTTAACAAGCTGAGATGAGCTCGATTAACGAAAGAAAGACATCAGTAACGTCCGAATAAAATGTGCTTAGCGAATAAGGAAAATAATATACTGGGAAAAAAAATGCAGGGGCTATCTTAACGTGCAAACCAATAGCTGTAAATAAAAAATACCGTAAATTAAGTATCGAAGCAAACAATTCGTTTTGCTAAATAAGAACAATCGCCCTTAACAACCAAGTGGAAATATAGAATTATAAAAGAGTTCATGGGAAGGAGATATGCGAATGTACTTAGCAATTTTAAAGAATATTTGAAAGGCACTGAGTATTTAAGCAAGTGTGGGAACTATAGCTGATATGACTCACCCCTGAATCCAAATCTATCATAAATAGCACGCTTATTTGGGTCAATGAGAACGGCATAAGCGGCGGAGATTCGACCGAATGCCTCCTGGGCACTTTTACGGAGATGTCGCAATTCTAGGTCTGGCATGGAACTATCGAATGCAGCGCCAATGGCACAATGTCTATCAGGATGCAGTAACCTAGACAGCCGTTTGTAAGAGGTGCGAATCTCAGCGAGGCCAGCATCTCTTGGAACACCAAGAACTGAATAAAAATCGACTGCACCTGCCGGATCAGCCAAAGATCTGTCTCCAGATGAGCATTCGGCAGCATCCATGTCCTCCTCATCAAGCAATGATACGAATATGGGGTCAACTGGCTCATCTAAGTCTTCGTTTTCTGCATTCACATCGCCAAGAGGCATATAAATTATGGGAGTGGAAGAAGGCCTAGCATTCTCTGGCGGCAAAGGGGTTTGAGAAGACTCCATTCGCCTGAGATGCGGCAGGAGTGGAGATCGGGTCAAATTAGTCTGTACAAACGCTGTGGGTGAGAAATGATAGCCCATTGAGCAGATGAAAAAGAAGTTATCTGATAAAGCGAAGTCCCGCGTGATCAATA